CCTGCCAAATATTCTCCCCCCTCCTCTCCTCTTCATCTAAGCTTGTTAAAAGGATGTGCTCAGGCCCTTTTATTTCGGTCTCCCTTTAATCAAATGCAAATTATGGCACTGACTGTTCTCTCTCTGAGCATGGCCTCATTGTGGAACAAATGAACAACATGTAAACAATGATATAGTGTTTAATGAATAATCAGCCCCTGGACTCTTTAGTCCCTGAAAACAGATTGGAAAATAATGATTTGCAACTTTTGTCATTAGCTTGCAAGCAAGATCGCCATTTCAGGATTTTAAAAACGGTCAGTTTCTTCTTCTGAATTTGCAATTAGTTCGTTTCGTTGTTTGGCTAAACAGCAAATTCGGACGAGATCGCTTGCCAGCTAGCTAGCTAGATCAAGTCAATCTTTAGCTAGCTAGACAGGCTTGGCTAGCTGGCTGTTAAGCGCAAACTCAGCGTTGTATGTACAAATGATTCTATTTAAAATACTGTATATATGACAATATTTATGACAGTAATTTGATGAACATTTGAACATAAATTGGTAAATAAACAAACGTAATACTCACATTACAATAAGTTATTCCTCATTCTTCTGGAAGAAATGTTCTTTGAAGCGAGGACTTCAATCCGCAATTAATTAACCGGAAGTTGTGTCGCAAAGGTGTATGGGATATACCTGGCGAAGGCACGGATGCTGATGCTGACTTTTAAAATTGTAGGTACCTTGGGAATGGGCTGCACCCTTGTCAATTGGGACATAGCTGTTATTTGTTATCAGAAGGAAAATAATAAATTTGACCCATGTTGAGGGAAAGAGTCCAAAACACAGAGTCCAAAACACATAGTAATATACAGAGTCCTGCACACACTAAAATGACTTAGGTTAAAAATAAGCTCAGCTGGACACGTAAATGAGACAGTGAATGAACTGAGAAAGAAAGCAAGCAGGGCATTCTTCGCCATTAAAAAAAACAAATTCAAATTGAAATATGTCATTAAAATATTTGCACTTTATGGCAGCGAGGTGTGGGGTCCACTTGTAAAACAAGATTTCACCCAATGGGACAAACACCCCACTGAAACGCTGCATGCAGAGTTAAGTAATATTATCCTACATGTCCAGAGGAAAACTACAAACAATGCATGCAGGGCAGAATTAGGCCATTGCCACTAATAAAAAATAAAAAATAATTAATTGGCCCTGCAATGCCAAGAGCTGAGCAAAGAAAAGAGTCCCCTCATCCAGCTGGTCCTGGGGTTGCGTTCACAAACCTGTTCTACTAACACAGTGAAGCCTCAGGACCAGAACATCCAATCAATCAGAATAAACCAAATATCAACACAGTCAAAACAAAACTACATCACCTATTGGGAAACACAAGCACAAGCACAAAGTAAAATGTAGTGCTATCTGGCCCTAAATCGACAGTACACCCCAGTGGCTAACTATTTGACCATGGTTACTGAACAAAACCTTAGAAAAACCTTGACAAAGTATAGGTTCAGTGAGCACAGCGTTGTCATTGAGAACAGTAGAAACAGGAAAACCTGTGTTGACACTACACCGCCACAGAACCCGAGACAAGGTTGCCAATGTCAAAAATATAAAGCAATTAGTGTTTAATTTCCACACATTTAAAATCATCATTAAAAGGTTTCCAAGACCTCTCTGATGAGAATAGGCTACCCATCCTGTTGACGAAAGATGCAGAGAGATGTGGGTTTGAGGCGTACTACATTGATGCGTGCCATAAGACGACTGACAAGTGTCTGACAGACCAACCAACCAGCACATGTATTCTATGCCATTGTTGTTTTTGATAATTCTATTGCATTGTACAATATGTTTATTTACTGATTTTCATTTCTATTACAACTGCATCCCCCGCACCCTTGATTATTGTTGTTACTTATTGTCCTGTTACGTGGACAGTCTTGATAATTTTTTGGGCTGGATTCACAATCTTTGAGTTGGCTGGATTCAGTCATCATTCAGAATCAGAATTATGTTTAAAAGAGAAGTGTGAGAGCTTGGGAGGGTGTTGGGCTTTTGTATGTGAATTTGTTGGAGTGATATTTCTGGTTTGTCTACACAGTACAGAAGCAAACCTAGAATCTCTCAATGGGTTTATGTGAAAGCGGCCAAGTTCCCCAGACGTTGACATAGCGAAAAGCAAAGTGGACACTAAACATCCTGTTTGACTGTCCATCAATTACTTAAAGTTGCTTGAGCTTTTTTAATGACTCTGGTCTTAGGCCAAGGCCTGGTGAAAATGAAAACGTCAGTAAGCATTGTTGTAATACAGAACCAATTGTGCGTTATTAGCACTTTTCCAAGAGCATATCCGCTTTGCTGCTTCGTTTAACCTTCATTATGGATGGATACAAGGGGTTGGAGATGGGCACAGCAAGTGTTGCATTCTCCTCCCAATTACAGAGCTGTGTCAAATTATTTAATATTAACTTGCTAAAGATGTATGTAGTTTTTGTGCACAACTTCACGACACCCAAACAAGTGCAGCTATGCCTTCAGATAGTATACACACACCTCTTGAATTATTCCAATTTTGTTGTGTTGAATTCAAAATGGATTACATTGGGATACTGTGTCACTGTCCTACACACAATACCCCATAATGTCAAAGTGGAATCATGTTTTAGGAATTTTTAACAAATTAATCAAAAATGAAAAGCTGAAATGGCTTGAGTCAATAATTATTCAACCCCTTTGTTATGGCAAGCCTAAATAAATTCAGGAGTAAAGATTTGCTTAACAAGTCACATAATAAATTACATGGCCTCACTCTGTGTGCAATAATAGTGTTTAACATAATTTTTTTAATGACTACCTCATCTCTGTACCCCACACATACAATTATCTGTAAGGTCCCTCAGTCGAGCAGTGAATTTTAAACACAGATTCAACCACAAAGACCAGGGAGGTTTTCCAATGCCTCGAAAAGAAGGGCAGCTATTGGTAAATGGGTGAACATTTTTAGAAAAGCAGACTTTGAGCATGGTGAAGTTATTAATTACACTTTGGATGGTGTATCAATACACCCAGTCACTACAAAGATACAGGCATCTTTCCTAATTCAGTTGCCAGAGAGGAAGGATACCGTTCAGGGATTTCACCATGAGGCCAATGGTAACATTAAAACAGTTACAGAGCTTAATTGCTGTGATAGGAGAATACTGAGGATGGATCAACTCCACAGTACTAACCTAATTGACAGAGTGAAAAGAAGTAAGCCTGTACAGAATAAAAATATTCCAAAACATGCATTCTGTTTGAAACAAGGAACTAAAGTAATACTGCAAAAAATGTGGCAAAGCAATTAACTTTTTGTCTTGAATACAAAGTGTTATGTTTGGGGCAAATACAATATAACACATTACTGAGTACCACTCTCCATTATTTTCAAGCACAGTGGAGGCTGCATCATGTTATGGGTATGCTTGTAATCTGGATAAGAGCGTCTGCTAAATGACGTAAATGTAAATGTAATCGTTAAGGACTGGGGAGTTTTTCAGGATTAAAAATAAATGAAATGGAGCTAAGCACAGGCAAAATCCTAGAGGAAAACCTGGTTCAGTCTGCTTTTCACCAGACACTGGGAGATGAATTCACCTTTCAGCAAGACAATAACCTAAAACACAAGGCCAAATCTACACTGGAGTTGTTTGACAAGAAGACAGTGAATGTTGCTGAGTGGCCGAGATACAGTTTTGACTTTAATCTGCTTAAATCTATGGCAAGACCTGAAAATGGTTGCCTAGCAATCATCAACAACCAATTTGACAGAGCTTGAAGAATTCTGAAAAGAATAATGGGAAAATGTTGTACAACCCAGGTGTGGAAATCTCTTACACGCTAACCAGACCGCACACGCCATCACGCGCATGTTGATTTTGTCCACCCACACCAGACACGATCAGGACATGCAGGTTGAAATATCAAAATTAACTAATTAATTTGGGGACAGGTCGAAAAGCATTAACATGTATGGCAATTTAGCTAGCTAGCTTGCTGTTGCTAGCTAATTTGTCCTGGGATATAAACATTGGGTTGTTATTTTACCTTCAGGCTGCTTCTTCTTCTTCTTTGGACTTTATATGGCGGTTGGCAACCAACTTTAAATTGCATTACCACTACCAAACTGTACTGGAGTGTGGACCTCAGTTCATTTTTCAATCACCCACGTGGGTATATGCTCCTAAAAACCAATGAGGAGATGGGAGAGGCAGGGCTTGCAGTGAGTCAAGCATCACAAATAGAACCAAGTTATATTTTAGCGCCTGGCTACTCGCAGTGTGGGTGCAATGATTGAATTGCATTTATTTTGCAACGCTTGCGCACGCAACGCGAGCGGCATGGTCAGCATGTTAGAGACCTATCCAGAAAGACTCACAGATGTAAAAACACATGTACCATAACTACTTTTATTGTTGTTGTTATTCAGGATCATTATGTTATGGCTGTTATGCTAACGAAAAATGCTTATATTATTCACAACAATACAGTAGGTATATCCCTCCACCAAACAACAAATCATTATACATCATGAATCATGTCGTGTATGATGTGGTCACACTGTTATTTTTGCACAGCCTATAGGTCACTTGAGGTGAAAGATGTGGCCACATCACACGACTCGATAAAATCCATAAAATCTGTTCCTAAAATATGGCAAAGATTTCAGAAAATACAACAGAAAGTAAGACTGGTTGGGCTACATTGTGAAAACAAAAGGTGACGGTCCGTTGTTTCCATTGTGAAAGAAATGCAGACATGTGTCAGCCTACAACGTATCATTTCAGCCTACAATGTGTAGGGATTCGACCAATAAGAAAGCGCCCTGTTGGCCCTACAGGCATTCCCGTCATCCTCTCTGATTCAATGCTACGTCAGCAGTGGTACCAAAAAGATGGCAGTGTCAGTAGGAAACCGCCTGGCTGCTGATGCGTGTTTATTGATATTAACTTTCATATTCCACCACAGTAATGCAAATAATATTGCCGCCGCTGCTTCGACCGCAGAAAGCACCAAACCGCCGGTTTGAATACAAGTACAGTTTCAAGGGACCGCACCTGTCTCAAGCCGACGGGAGTATTCCTTTTTGGGTACACAGTGGAAGTAAGTTTAAGTTTGTGCCGGTGGCTAGGCTATTGCTGACCGTTATCAATCATTATAGTAAGGTGAATCGGCTGCAATAGATATCTTGCCACTCTAGTCAGCGATTGTAGCTAGCGGTTTTGCATGTGGGGGAACATTTATGACACGATTGTTGTAGCTAGCCGGCTACTGCCTGTACCCACTGATGTCAGTGCAGACATGGCTTGCTACACATGGCTATCAGTATCAAACACAGTGGCCTGATATCAAACTTGTTTCAACATGTCATGGCAGTGAAATAGCCAGCAGCATCAGGAGACGGGGAGAGAAGTAGGAGAAGGGAAATGTTAACAGGATACACATGCAACATCATGCAACATGCTGACATAAGTAAAGTTACCAAGTAGCTAGCTAGCTACATTCATGCCTGCCAGATGGCTAAATCACCCTACCCCAAAGTATACCATCTGGTGTTGCCAAACCTACATTTTAATTTTGTTTTGTGTAACGCAAAGGGTTAACAAATCAGTATCTTTAGAAGCAGTGCAAAGGTCCCAGGCTGGTGTCGACGCAACCTGATTTAGGAGTCATTTTGATACTGTTGGCCGTTTCTTATCAGGGTACAGCATATGGCATGTTGTTTTACGCACACGATTGTACTACTGTGACATTTTGAATTTGGCCTCAAAATATATACATAAGCTATTGTGGGCCTTGGCTATCTGCCAAACCCTTGACTGCAATGCTAACAATACTAGGACTATGTATAGGACGCCTATTTTTTGTCTTTTACATAAGGTTTCAGAAAGTAATTAATCCATATTAATGTTGTCCACAAAGAACCATGGAAATAATAACAATCCCAGTAACACATGTACATGTGTACGTAGGCTTAAGACACAATGATTTTGCTAACCTCAATGTTTGTAAAGAAATTACCTTCTGGTCAATTGTTTACCCCGGACCAATACTGGTTCTCCACCTGTAGTTACACTATGGGCCATTCTGGCTTGGACAAGACCTACTTACTTTACTGTAGTTACGCTAAGCAAACAGTTAAACAAGTATTTCTGGACATTCACACTCAGTCACAAAGCTTCTGTGCGGTACAGTCATAACGCAACGGACCGCTAGTGCTTCTGGTACCTGAGCTGTCTTAGCCTTCTGTCACTAAGGGTTTGCTCGGTATGAATTTAAGACTTCATGCCTTAGACTTTACCCCAACCCTGCTAACTAACGTTAACGTCTTGTGTCTGTATTCCAGATGCCATCCCCAGTGCCGACCAGGTCCGTATCACCCCCTCTCTCAGGAGTCAGAAGGGCTCGGTCTGGACCAAGACCACGGTCAACTTTGACAACTGGGAAGCAGAGGTGACATTCCGTGTGTCTGGACGAGGGAGGATGGGAGCGGACGGCCTGGTAAAAGGAACACCAACAATTCTCCTTTATTATATAAAGATTGGGAAATTCACTCATGTCTAGCTTCACACTAGGCCTTTTCACACAGCATTTTCTTAGCACAGGGCTATCCTTAAACCTGGGTTAAATTTAGCCCAGGGCTATTCTATCTTCCTTTCACACAAGCATTACTTAACCCTGGGCTAACTGCAGTGTGCTTTAAAAACACTGGCTACAGCATATGTATGCATCTTGTTATTGTGAAGCTAGCCAAGTGAGCAAGAACACCTTCCTTCCTATGGCTTCCATATACTGACTCTAGCCCATAGAGAATGATAGAGGACTCTTCTTTGTATCTGTCCAATTATGGAGTCTGCGAGCCCACAGGCAGCTCCATTTTGTCCATCTCCATTTTGAAGTAGTCCGTTTTCTTCTACTACTACTTCTGTTGGCTCACAAGTATAATTAATTGGCTGATGCCTCCTGATGACCTGGGTGGAATTATGTGAACCTTCCTTAACCCATAGGAAGTCCCACCCAGTTGACTACTTCAGAATAGAGTACCACAGTACGAGTCATAATACCCATAAAACCTAGCGGTCAAACAAGGAAATGGTTCCAGTCATTCTTTCCACCATTCATTTTTCCCATAGGGGATTTTTTAAGTAACACTTAAAATAAGGGCTGTGTTTCGTGTAGGCTTACCCTGGCGTGATGTTTTGATAACCATGTAAATCTCTCTAGGACAAGGTGATTTTTATCAATATAGTCGCCTGTATTTACCTCCCCCAAATTTAAATGCTAATGTGGCTATCATTAAGAACTACAAATGCCATGATCTGGAAGAGACTGCCGAATCGAGGCGAAGGTAAGAATCTCTGGATTAACTATCTAATGTTGGCTAAATGTAGTAATTAATAAATTGGCAACATTTCTTTAAATTCACAATTCTGTGAACTATCTTGTGCAAGTTTTAAATTGACACAATACCTGTTAGCAAAGGTGTCAGCTTGAGATGACATGCAGAAGCTTGCAGGAATTTGTAATATATTGATAAAATTCACCTTGTCCGAGAGAGATTTACATGGTTATCAAAACGTTATGCCAGGGTAAGCCTACACAAAACACAGCCCTTATTTTAAGTGTTTCTAAAAAATCCCTTATGGGGAAAAATTTAATGGTGGAAAAAACGATTGGAACCATTTCCCTGTTTGACCGCTCGGTTTTATGGGTATTATGACACCTCCACTGTGGGGCTCTATGGTGAAAGTCCTCAATGGCGCTGCCCATTCAGCCTTTGGCCGCTAGTGTCCTCTATCATTATCTATGCTCTAGGCCTGGTCACCCTACTGAGCTGAGCCAAGCTGTACTGGCCTGGTCACACATCCGCCATAGTTGCTGGAGCCGTGCTGGAAAACACAACGTGAAAATGAAATATCAGAGCCAGCGCAGTATGTTTTTGGGTCAGCTCAATAGTGTGATACGTAAGTGTTCTGAGCCTTTTCTATGAGACTGTTGGAAGGCCTATTTACAGTGCATTTGGAAAGTATTCAGACCTCTTGACTTTTCCCAAATTTTTTTACGTTGGTCTTATTCTAAAATGGAATAACTAGTTTTTTCCCCTCATCAATGTACGCGCAATACCCCATAATGACAAAGCAAAAACTGGTTTTTTAGATATTTTTGCAAATGTATAAAAAAAATCTACAAAATAAAAAAATCACATTTACATAAGTATTTCGACCCATTTACTCAGTACTTTGTTGAAGCACCTTTGGCAGCGATTACATCTTCGAGTCTTCTTGGGTATGAAGCTACAAGCTTGGCACACCTGTATTTGGGGAGTTTTTCCCATTCTTCTCTGCAGATCCTCTCAAGCTCTATCAGGTTGGATGGGGAGCGTTGCTGCAAAGCTATTTTCAGATCTCTCCAGAGATGTTACAATCGTTTTCAAGTCCGGGCTCTGGCTGGGCTACTCAAGGACATTCAAAGACTTGTCCCAAAGCCACTCCTGCGTTGTCTTGGCTGTGTGCTTAGGGTGGTTGTCCTGTTGGAAGGTGAAGCCTTCGCCCCAGTCTGAGGTCCTGAGCGCTTTGGAGCAGGTTTTCATCAAGGATCTCTCTGTACTTTGTTATGTTCATCTTTGCCTCGATCCTGACTAGTCTCCCAGTCCCTGCCGCTGAAAAACCATTCCCACAGCATGATGCTGCCACCACCATGCTTCACCGTAGGGATGCTGCCAGGTTTCCTCCAGACGTGATGCTTGGCATTCAGGCCAAAGAGTTCAATCTTGGTTTCATCAGACCAGAGAATCTTGTTTCTCATGGTCGGAGAGTCTTTAGGTGCCTTTTGGCGAAACTCCAAGCTGGCTGTCATGTGCCTTTTTCTGAGGAGTGGCTTCCGTCTGGCCACTCTACCATAAAGGCCTGATTGGTGGAGTGCTGCAGAGATGGTTGTCCTTCTGGAAGGTTCTCCCATCTCCACAGAGGAACTCTAAAGCTCTGTCAGAGTGACCATTGGTTCTTGGTCACCTCCCTGACCAAGGCCCTTCTCCCCCGATTGCTCAGTTTGGCCGGGCGGCCATCTCTAGGAAGAGTCTTGGTGGTTCCAAACTTCTTCCATTTAAGAATGATGGAGGCCACTGTGTTCTTGGGGACCTTCAATGCTGCAGAAATGTTTTGGTACCCTTCCCCAGATCTGTGCCTCGACACAATCCTGTGTCAGCGCTCTACAGACAATTCCTTCGACCTCATGGCTTGGTTTTTGCTCTGACAACTGTGGGACCTTATATAGACAGGTGTGTGCCTTTCCGAATCATGTCCAATCAATTGAATTTACCACAGGTGGACTCCAATCAAGTTGTAGAAACATCTCAAGGATGATCAATGGAAACAGGATGCACCTGAGCTCAATTTCGACTCTCATAGAAAAGGGTCTAAATACTTATGTAAATAAGGTATTTCTGTTTTGTTTTTTGTAAATTAGCAAAAAAACTAAAAATTAACTGTTTTCACCTTGTCATTATGGGGTATTGTGTGTTGATTATTGAGGATTTTTGGAATAAGGCTGTAATGTAACAATGTGGAAAAAGTGAAGGGGTCTGAATACTTTCCGAAGGCACTGTCTGTCCCATTGAGCTACCTACACCTATATCCTGGCAGCTAGTCTGCTGGTAGTGAATGTGGAGTTGTGCTGACCTTTAGGCTCAGACTTCAGGTTAATCCCCATGTTTTTCTGTCCATGTCTGTCCTGTCCCTGTGTGGCTCAGTTGGTAAAAGCGTGGCGCTAGTAACGCCAAGGTCGTGGGTTCAAGTCCTACATTATGCTTTCACTGTACTGTACGTTTCACTGTATCTGCTGTCCCTCTGCTACTCTACTGTTACCTATAGTTATTCAGACAGTTAAACAAGTATTTTTTGGACATTCACAGTCTCTCCCTGTCGGTCCCTCAAACAGGCGATATGGTTCACCACTGCCCAAGGCCTGGATGGTCCTGTCTATGGAGCCGCTGACAACTGGAACGGCCTCGGCATCTTCTTCGATTCCTTTGACAACGATGGGAAGGTTGGTGGCCAAATCAATGATTTATTATATTCATTTAATCAATTTACAATAAATGTATTTATTTATTTAATTATAGGTAAACCAAAAAAAGTCAAAAGGATCTTGTAAATGAATTCAGGTAAAAATGACAATTAACCGTTTTTAATAATATCTGTCATTTTAATATTTTAATTCAAATACTACAATGCAAATAATTGGAAATGCATGTGGTCCTCTGTAGCTCAATTGGTAGAGCATGGCGCTTGTAACGCCAGGGTAGTGGGTTCGATCCCCGGGACCACCCATACGTAAAAATTTATGCACGCATGACTGTAAGTCGCTTTGGATAAAGCGTCTGCGAAATGGCATATTATTATTATTATTATTATTATTATTATGTTAATACTGTACACACTTTCTTATCTTGGATATATATATTTTTTTCTTCATATTTTCAAGTTGAAACCTAGGTCTGATAACGTATATTGATTGGAATTAAAGAAACACAATGTCCTTTAAAACATAGATTAGGTAGATTACAGATTGTTGTTTGTTTTACTGTTTGTTTTAGAAAAATAACCCTGCTGTGCTGGTAGTGGGAAACAATGGTGGACTTGTTTATGATCACCCAAAGTAAGTCAACATTTCCTTCGCCTCGCTGACATCACCAACTGAACATTTTACAACTTAAAGAAGATTAGAAAATATGATTATATATTTGTGGTTGGAGATTATAATCCTCTATCTCATCCTAATCTCCCTGGGCAGTGAAAGCTTTAAATCACTTTTCTGTGCCAGTTGATCTAGCCTTATGTCTTAGAGCTCACACCACTGTATTCTGTGTCGTCACTACTCTATCTGTTTACAATAATGGGATAAATTAATTTGAACTGTTTTCCTTAATTTCTGAACTCTCCAAACCATGTATTTTCTGTTTGTTTGTGTATGGAGCCCTATATTCTCTGTACTTGCTTCTCCTGCTGCTATGGTGCATGTGTCCTTTATACTTGTTATAAATCCAGGTCTGCCTTTGTACTTTGTATTGTCGATGCTTGTTGGGATGAATGAATTTCCGTTCTTGTGATATATAAAGTACTACTACTACTACTGATTCTAATACTACTATGTAATGTTTCTTTAGTGTCTAAAAATGATGTTTTATTTTCAGTGATGGCACGACTCAGGCCCTGGGGACATGCTTAAGAGACTTCCGTAACAAACCCTATCCCGTCAGAGCCAAAATAACATACTATAAGAAAACACTAACAGTAAGTCAATGATCAATCCCCTCAAATCAAAAACAGAGACAAATTTGACTGGTGTTTTTATATTGGTCATTTATTGAGAACACGATACAAATATCAACACCCAAATGCATCAAACAACACAGAAATATGCCATTAAAAAAAAAAATACATAGTAGTTGATTGCCCTTGGTTAATGTGGTATTCCATTGTCTGTCCTGTCAGGTGCTGATCAACAATGGTTTCACGCCAGATAAGGATGACTATGAGTTCTGTACAAAGGTGGACAACATGATCATTCCACAGGAGGGCTACTTTGGCATCTCAGCTGCCACTGGTGGTCTAGCAGGTGGTTATCTTGGTAACGGTTTAATTGAGGCCTGCAGGTATAATGCATTATGATGTGGTTGTAATGCATTATTAAACTTGCCATAAGCATGTATGACCCCCTTTGTATGTCATTTCTTTCAAATTTGATTTGTACTATTCCTAATTTATTAAACTGCTTAAATTGTCAAATTTGGATATTGTCAGGTTATATTGTTTAATAATGATACAATTATTTTGTTTAATCATGTTTTAATGTGTTTTGTTTTACTAATTTGTTTGTATGTAACTTTTGTTTTCCAGACGATCATGATGTCCTGTCCTTCCTGACCTTCAGACTAACAGAGCCTGGCCAAGAACTGGTAACTAGATTTTCTTAGTTATACCACTCATAACTGTAACTACTACATTTTCCACTTACCATAAGTTAAACCACTTACAGTACCACTCAGTACAATTTTAATTGGAAGAACATCAGAGTGAAATTGTGAATTGTGTGCCATATTTCTTCAATAGAGGTATGCGAAAGCATTATGTGAATAAGGGGCCTCAGTCTCTTCAGCGCTGGTTCACAGGAGTTGTTTTGTCTGTCCCATTGAAGCCCCCACCTGAAGCAGAGATGCCCAAGGAGGACAAGGACAAGTACCAGGAAGAATTTGAGAACTTTCAGCAGGAGCTGGACAAAAAGAAGGAGGACTATCAGAAGGAGCATCCGGACGTCCAGGGAGAACCCAGTTAGTTTCACTCAATAATATTTCTCATACTTCATCCTCTCTTTGCTATACGTGTTATATTGACTCAATATAGATTTTTTTTCTATCCTTTTAATGTTGAGGTTACTAAATAGTTTGGTAAATAAAAAAACAACACCATACAAATCGAAGTATTGCAGTTACACCTACATTTGAAATTAAGGTTAATTGCGTGATGACCTTTATTTCATATGTCAGAAGCATGCAACTTTGTAAAACATTTTAATAGGCCCGCGGACCATTACAAATATATAGTCTTAGGCTTATACAGTACCAGTCAAAGGTTTGGACACACCTACTCATTCAAGGGTTTTTCTTAATTTTTACTATTTTCTACATTGTAGAATGACATCAAAACTATGAAATAACACATATGGAATCATGTAGTAACCAAAAAAGTGTTAAACAAATCAAAATATATTTGAGATTCTTCAAAGTAGCGCCCTTTTCCTTGATGACAGCTTTGCACACTCTTGGCATTCTCTCAACCAGTTTCATGAGGTAGTCAACTCAAATGCATTTAAATTAACAGGTTTAACGTTAATTTGTGGAATTGATGAAACTGGCTCTCATGAGGACCGCCACAGGAAAGGAAGACCCAGAGTTTTCTCTGCTGCAAAGGATAAGTTCATTAGAGTTAACTGCACGTCAGATTGCAGCCCAAATAAATGCTTCACAGAGTTCAGGTAACAGATACATCTCAACATAAACTGTTCAGAGAAGACTGCATGAATCAGGCCTTCATGGTTGAATTGCTGCAAAGAAACCACTACTAAATGACTTGGGCCAAGAAACACGAGCAATGGTCATTAGACCGGTGGAAATTTGTCCTTTGGTCTGATGAGTCCAAATTTGAGATTTTTGGTTCCAACAGCCGTGTCTTTGTGAGACGCAGAGTAGGTGAACGGACGATCTCCGCATGTGTGGTTTCCCACCGTGAAGCATGGAGGAGGAGGTGTGATGGTGTGGGGATGCTTTGCTGGTGACACTGTCCGTGATTTATTTAGAATTCAAGGCACACTTAACCAGCATGGCTACCACAGCATTCTGCAGCGATACGCCATCACATCTGGTTTGGGCTTAGTGGGACTATCATTTGTTTTTCAATAGGACAATGACCCAAAACACACCTCCAGGCTGTGTAAGGGCTATTTGACCAAGAAGGAGTGATGAAGTGCTGCATCAGATGACCTGGCCTCCACAATCACCTGACCTCAACCCAATTGAGATGGTTTGGGATGAGTTGGACCACAGTGTGAAGGAAAAGCAGCCAACAAGTGCTCAGCATATGTGGGAACTCCTTCAAGACTGTTGGAAAAAGCATTCCTCATGAAGCTGGTTGAGAGAATGCCAAGAGTGTGCAAAGCTGTCGTCAAGGTGAAGGGTGGCAACTTTGAAGAATCTAAAATATAAAATATATTTTGATTTGTTTAACACTTTTTGGTTACTACATGATTCCATATGTGTTCTTTCATAGTTTTGAAAATAGTTTTTAAAAAATAAATAAGAAAAACCCTTAAATGAGTAGGTGTGTGTCAACTTTTGACTGGTACTGTATACATAGAAGACTAGCAGAGCCTGGCCATATATACTGTGTGTGTATGTATATATACATATACAGCTCTGGAAAAAATTAAGAGACCACTGCAAAATTATCAGTTTCTCTGGTTTTACTATTTAAAGGTATGTGTTTGGGTAAAATTAACATTTTTGTTTTATTCTATAAACTACTGACAACATTTCTCCCAAATTCCAAATAAAAATATTGTAATTTAGAGCATTTATTTGCAGAAAATGACAACTGGTCAAAATAACAAAAAAGATGCAGTGTTGTCAGACCTCAAATAATGCAAAGAAAATAAGTTCATGTTCATTTTTAAACAACACAATACTAATGTTTTAACTTAGGAAGAGTTCAGAAATCAATATTTGGTGGAATAACCCTGATTTCCACCAGTCTTTCACATTGATGTTGGGTGACCTCCCGAGTGGCGCAGTGGTCTAAGGCACTGCATCGCAGTGCTAGCTGTGCCACTAGATATCCTGGTTCGAATCCAGGCTCTGTCGTAGCCGACCGCGACCGGGAGACCCATGGGGCGGCGCACAATTGGCCCAGCGTCGTCCAGGGTAGGGGAGGGAATGGCCGGCAGGGATGTAGCTCAGTTGGTAGAGCATGGTGTTTGCAACGCCAGGGTTGTGGGTTCGATTCCCACGGGGGGCCAGTATGAACAATTAAAAAAATTATAATGTATGCACTCACTAACTGTAAGTCGCTCTGGATAAGAGCGTCTGCTAAATGACTAAAATGTAAATGTAAATGTGACTTTATGCCACTCCTGGCGCAAATATTCAAGCAGCTTTGTTTGATGGCTTGTGACCATCCATCTTCCTCTTGATCACATTCCAGAAGTTTTCAGTGGGGTTCAGGTCTGGAGATTGGGCTGGCCATGACAGGGTCTTGATCTGGTGGTCCTCCATCCACACCTTGATTGACCTGGCTCTTTGGCATGGCGCATTGTCCTGCTGGAAAAACCAATACTCAGAGTTGGGGAACAATGTCAGAGCAAAAGGAAGCAAGTTTTCTTCCAGGACAACCTTGTACGTGGCTTGATTCATGCGTCCTTCACAAAGACAAATCTGTCAGATTCCTGCCTTGCTGAAGCACCCCCAGATCATCACCGATCCTCCACCAAATTTCACAGTGGGTGCGAGACACTGTGGCTTGTAGGCCTCTCCAGGTCTCCGTCTAACCATTAGATGACCTGGTGTTGGGCAAAGCTGAAAATTGGACTCATCAGAGAAGATTACCTTACTCCAGTCCTCTACAGTCCAATCCTTATGGTCTTTTGCAAACCTCAGCCTGGCTCTTCTTTGCTTCTCATTGATGAAGGGCTTTTTTCTAGCTTTGTACGACTTCAGCCCTGCCCCTAGGAGCCTGTTTCGAACCCAGCTGCCGTTTGCCATTATTTTTGTAGGTCACTTGATGTCATCCTACGGTTGTTGAGTGACATTCGAATGAGTTGGCGGTCATCCCGGTCAGAGAGAGAGTCGTTTTCGCCCTCTGCCGGTCTGGAGCTTTGTTGTCCCCAATGTCTGCTGCTTGACCTTGTTCTTATGAACTGCCGTCTTTGAAATTTTAAGGACGGAAGCAACCTGACGCTCACTGTATCCCTCTGCCAGTAAAGCCAGAATTGAACCCTTTTCCTCACTCAACTTTCCTTTTCAACTCTTTTGGCATGGTCCGTAGTTATTTTTTGATTAATATTACTTTTGAGGTACTATTAGCACTGTTTTTTGCCATCCAGCAGGTCCTATTGCAAGAGGATAGTCATGAACACAGCAGTGTTTGTTTTATATTTTTCCTCGTTAAATAAGATTTTGTTCAGGTGATCACCTAATCAGTACCTAATTCAGTAGAATGAGGTGTGCCTGTGTTGGAATTCAACAGACACTGGAATGGAATGGCTGTCATACATGTAGAGATGCTGATTTAAGAAAAATGTGCAGTGGTCTCTTAATTTTTTCCAGAGGTGTGTGTGTGTGTATGTATGTGTAGATATAGATATAGATATAGATGTATAGATATGTATATATAGATATGTATATATATAAATAGATGTGTGTGTGTGTGTGTGTGTATATATATATATATATATATATATATATATATATATATATATATATATATATATATATATATATATATATATATATATATATATATATATATATATATATATTATATACAGTAGGGAAAAAATGTATTTAGGCAGCCACCAATTGTGCAAGTTCTCCCACTTAAAAAGATGAGAGGCCTGTAATTTTCATCATAGGTACACGTCAACTATGACAGACAAATTGAGATTTTTTTTCTCCAGAAAATCACATTATAGGATTTTTAATGAATTTATTTGCAAATTATGGTGGAAAATAAGTATTTGGTCAATAACAAAAGTTTCTCAATACTTTGTTATATACCCTTTGTTGGCAATGACACAGACACAGGTCAAACATTTTCTGTAAGTCTTCACAAGGTTTTCACACACTGTTGCTGGTATTTTGGCCCATTCCTCCATGCAGATCTCCTCTAGAGCAGTGATGTTTTGGGGCTGTCGCTGGGCAACACGGACTTTCAACTCCCTCCAAAGATTTTCTATGGGGTTGAGATCTGGAGACTGGCTAGGCCACTCCAGGACCTTGAAATGCTTCTTACGAAGCCACTCCTTCGTTGCCCGGGCGGTGTGTTTGGGATCATTATCATGCTGAAAGACCCAGCCACGTTTCATCTTCAATGCCCTTGCTGATGGAAGGAGGTTTTCACTCAAAATCTCACGATACATGGCCCCATTCATTCTTTCCTTTACACGGATCAGTCGTCCTGGTCCCTTTGCAGAAAAACAGCCCCAAAGCATGATGTTTCCACCCCCATGCTTCACATTAGGTATGGTGTTGTTTGGATGCAACTCAGCATTCTTTGTCCTCCAAACACGACGAGTTGAGTTTTTACCAAAAAGTTATATTTTGGTTTCATCTGACCATATGACATTCTCCCAATCCTCTTCTGGATCATCCAAATGCACTCTAGCAAACTTCAGACGGGCCTGGACATGTACTGGCTTAAGCAGGGGGACACGTCTGGCACTGCAGGATTTGAGTCCCTGGCGGCGTAGTGTATTACTGATGGTAGGCTTTGTTACTTTGGTCCCAGCTCTCTGCAGGTCATTCACTAGGTCCCCCCGTGTGGTTCTGGGATTTTTGCTCACCGTTCTTGTGATCATTTTGACCCCACGGGGTGAGATCTTGCGTGGAGCCCCAGATCGAGGGAGATTATCAGTGGTCTTGTATGTCTTCCATTTCCTAATAATTGCTCCCACAGTTGATTTCTTCAAACCAAGCTGCTTACCTATTGCAGATTCAGTCTTCCCAGCCTGGTGCAGGTCTACAATTTTGTTTCTGGTGTCCTTTGACAGCTCTTTGGTCTTGGCCATAGTGGAGTTTGGAGTGTGACTGTTTGAGGTTGTGGACAGGTGTCTTTTATACTGATAACAAGTTCAAACAGGTGCCATTAATACAGGTAACGAGTGGAGGACAGAGGAGCCTCTTAAAGAAGAAGTTACAGGTCTGTGAGAGGCAGAAATCTTGCTTGTTTGTAGGTGACCAAATACTTATTTCCACCATAATTAGCAAATAAATTCATTAACAATCCTACAATGTGATTTTCTGGAGAAAAAAATTCTCCATTTGTCTGTCATAGTTGACGTGTACCTATGATGAAGATTACAGGCCTCTCTCATCTTTTTAAGTGGGAGAACTTTGCACAATTGGTGGCTGACTAAATACTTTTTTCCCCCACTGTACAGTGAGGGAAAAAAGTATTTGATCCCCTGCTGATTTTGTACGTTTGCCCACTGACAAAGAAATGATCAGTTTATAATTTTAATGGTAGGTTTATATGAACAGTGAGAGACAGAATAACAACAAAAAATCCAGAAAAACGCATGTCAAAAATGTTAGAAATTGATTTGCATTTTAATGAGGGAAATAAGTATTTGACCCCTCTGCATAACATGACTTAGTACTTGGTGGCAAAACCCTTGTTGGCAATCACAGAGGTCAGATGTTTCTTGTAGTTGGCCACCAGGTTTGCACACATCTCAGGAGGGATTTTTGTCCCACTCCTCTTTGCAGAACTTCTCCAAGTCATTAAGGTTTCGAGGCTGACGTTTGTCAACTCGAACCTTCAGCTCCCTCCACAGATTTTCTATGGGATTAAGGTCTGGAGACTGGCTAGGCCACTCCAGAACCTTAATGTGCTTCTTCTTGAGCCATTCCTTTGTTGCCTTGGCCGTGTGTTTTGGGTCGTTGTCATGCTGGAATACCAATCCACGACCCATTTTCAATGCCCTGGCTGAGGGAAGGAGGTTCTCACCCAAGATTTGACGGTACATGGCCCTGTCCATCGTCCCTTTGATGCGGTGAAGTTGTCCTGTCCCCTTAGCAGAAAAACACCCCCAAAGCATAATGTTTCCACCTCCATGTTTGACGGTGGGGATGGTGTTCTTGGGGTCATAGGCAGCATTCCTCCTCCTCCAAACACGGCGAGTTGAGTTGATGCCAAAGACCTCGATTTTGGTCTCCTCTGCCCACAACACTTTCACCCAGTTCTCCTCTGAATCATTCAGATGTTCATTGGCAAACTTCAGACGGGCCTGTATATGTGCTTTCTTGAGCAGGGGGACCTTGCGGGCGCTGCAGGATTTCAGTCCTGCACGGCGTAGTGTGTTACTAATTGTTTTCTTGGTGACTATGGTCCCAGCTGCCTTGAGATCATTGACAAGATCCTCCCGTGTAGTTCTGGGCTGATTCCTCACCGTTCTCATGATCATTGCAACTCCACGAGGTGAGATCTTGCATGGAGCCCCAGGCCGAGGGAGATTGACAGTTCTTTTGTGTTTCTTCCATTTGCGAATAATCGCACCAACTGTTGTCACCTTCTCACCAAGCTGCTTGGCGATGGTCTTGTAGCCCATTCCAGCCTTGTGTAGGTCTACAATCTTGTCCCTGACATCCTTGGAGAGCTCTTTGGTCTTGGCCATGGTGGAGAGTTTGGAATCTGATTGATTGCTTCTGTGGACAGGTGTCTTTTATACAGGTAACAAACTGAGATTAGGAGCACTCCCTTTAAGAGTGTGCTCCTAATCTCAGCTCGTTACCTGTATAAAAGACACCTGGGAGCCAGAAATCTTTCTGATTGAGAGGGGGTCAAATACATATTTCCCTCATTAAAATGCAAATCATTTTACAACATTTTGACATGCGTTTTTTCGGGATTTCTTTTGTTGTTATTCTGTCTCTCACTGTTCAAATAAACCTACCATTTAAAATTATAGACGGATCATTTCTTTGTCAGTGGGCAAACGTACAAAATCAGCAGGGGATCAAATACTTTTTTCCCTCACTGTATATATCAACAGTAAATTGAGACCCCCACTGAGATCTCTCTCTCTCTGCTCTCTCTCTCTCTACTCTCTCTCTCCTCTCTATCTCTCTCTCTCTCTCTCTCTCTCTCTCTCTCTCTCTCTCTCTCTCTCTCTCTATCTCTCTCTCTCTCTCTCTCTCTCCTCTCTCCTCTCTCCTCTCTCCTCTCTCCTCTCTCCTCTCTCTCTGTGTTGGGGTTTCAATTTACTGTTTAGAGTTAGAATAAGGTACAATTGCGACATGTGGTTGTGCATCAGCAATCACTCAATTAGCCCATGTCAGCAATTTCTTTTTAGAATGGTAAGTTAGTCTAGCGGCCAGCTATCTAAACTTGTAGTAATCATAGTCGAATTGCCGACCGGGGTGGGGCCCATTGATCATCAGTTATCATATTAAAAACTGCAAACATTTAACTCCATCCTATAGAAAAATGTGTAGAATTGCAGGAAATTAGCTGTAAAACTGCTAATTTTTTCTCTTCGCCCCATGGCAAAATATGTAGAATTACAGCAAACTATTTTAAAACAACAACATTATCTCTACGCCCCATGGCAGCAAAATGTGCAGAATTGTAGGAAATGAACTTTAAAATACTTTTTTATTTATTTTGCTGTCACGAGGGTGGCCGCTAAAATGTTTTGCTCGCAAGGGGGGATGAATGAATGGATGGATGTGTCCATCTGCTAATACTAGATGTTGACGATAGATGCTAGGCTGCCCAGATGTTAATACTAGATGCTAACTATAGATGCTAGGCTGCCCAGATGTTAATACTAGATGCTAACGATAGATGCTAGGCTGCCCAGATGTTAATACTAGATGCTAACGATAGATGCTAGGCTGCCCAGATGTTAATACTAGATGCTAACGATAGATGCTAGGCTGCCCAGATGTTAAAACTAGATGCTAACGATAGATGCTAGGCTGCCCAGATGTTAATACTAGATGCTAACGATAGATGCTAGGCTGCCCAGATGCTAATACTAGATGCTAACGATAGATGCTAGGCTGCCCAGATGCTAATACTAGATGCTAATGAGACCTTCTGTCTGATTTGTGTCCTGTGTAGTTGAGGACATGTATGAGAGTGTGAACGACAGGGAGATCCGCCAAGTGTTTGAGGGCCAGAACCGGATCCATCTGGAGATCAAGCAGCTTCACCGTCAGCTGGCCATGATCCTGGACGAACAGCGCCGCTACGTTTCCGTGGTTACCGATGAGATCTCCAAGCGCCAAGGGGAGTCTGGAGGACAGGTGGGACAGGTAGAAAGTCTAGGAACCCACGAGTGCACATACATACAAACACACACGTACAAGAACACACACACACACACACACACATTGTTCATATCAATAGAGCCACACACAAATACAGAATTTGATCACTTTACTAAAAAGAATGATAACATGTTTCAATAATTGCCCCCTTGGGTGATGAATAAGTTTATTGAATTGTTTGATTCTTCAGGCTCCTAGTCAAGAGATGGGTGCAGTGGTTGCAACACAACAGGAGGTACTGAGGAACCTGAACGAGTTGAGGTGGGTAACCGTAACAACAGACATTTGTTGTTTTGTTATTATTCTTTAACTGTATTTGTTTATCACACACAGTACTGTATGTAGAGCTGATATTCCAGACAAACAAGCTATTGTTTCAATCCAGGCCATAAAGAAATCCTTATTAAATCTCATATTTAATCTCACAATACAATACTCTGCTACCGTAGGTGTCTCAGCCTAGATCTAATAATCTGCAATCTTTAGTCTCTTGCTTTCCTGTCTGAAATCCCCCCCCTGGTCTGTAGGATTTACTATGATACCTTAACTACAAGCCCCCCAGACTATGATACCTTAAACCTCCTCCACTACACCCCCCCCCCCCCCCCCCCCCCCCCCCCCCCCCCCCAAATGGGATAGACCCCTTATCTCCCCAGTAGCTCATCCCTAATCCATATTTATGTTCAGCTTTTGTTTGCTGACTCTCGCTGTGTTTTGTGCATGAAAATATGAGTCTGGGTTGCGGTTCTTTAGTTTTATAGAGCGTCAGAGCTGCATTCTAGGCGATTAAATATATATATATATTTTTTTTTCTTCTGATAACATCATGACTGTTGGACTGTTTCTAATGTGGACCTTGTCAGTTCTTTGAGGTGATATACCATATAGCCTAACCATTATATATGTCTGTTATTTGAGATAACCATTGTTTCCTAAATATGTCTATATTTTAAAGTTCTGATAGATTTAAAGGGATAGTTGAACCAAATGACAAAATGACATATTGGTTTCCTTACCCTTAAGCAGTCTATTGACAAGGTTTTGACAGCAATCCATTCTTTAGTTTGATTACCTGGCCACTGTTTCCAGATCTTTACTTTTTACGGAAAGTATTCAGACCCCTTGATTTTTTTTTCCACATTTTGTTACGTTACAGCCTTTTTCTGAAATTGATTAAATTGTTTTTTTTTCCCTCTTCAATCTACACACAATGACCCATAATGACAAAGCAAAAGCAGATTTTTAGATTTTTTAGCGAATTTATTACAAATAAAAAAAATGATATCACATTTACTTAAGTATTCCGACCCTTTACTCAGTACTTTTGTTGAAGAACCTTTGGCAGCGATTACAGCCTTGAGTCTTCTTGGGTATGACGCTACAAACTTGGCACACCTGTATTTGGGGAGTTTCTCCCATTCTTCTCTGCAGATCCTCTCAAGCTTTGTCAGGTTGGAAGGGCAGCGTCGCTGCACAGCTATTTTCAGGTCTCTCCAGAGATGTTCAATCGGGATCAAGTCCGGGCTCTGGCTGGGCCACTCAAGGACATTCAGAGACTTGTCCCGAAGCCACTCCTGCGTTGTCTTGGCTGTGTGCTTAGGGTCGTTGTCCTGTTGGAAGGTGAACCTTCACCCCAGTCTGAGGTCCTGAGTGCTCTGGAGCAGGTTTTCATCAAGGATCTCTCTGTACTTTGCGCCGTTCATCTTTCCCTCGATCATGACTAGTCTCCCAGTCCCTGCCCGCTGAAAAATATCCCCACAGCATGATCCTGCCACCACCATGCTTCACCGAAGGGATGGTGCCAGGTTTCCTCCAGACGTGACTCTTGGCATTCAGGCCAAAGTGTTCAATCTTGGTTTCATCAGACCAGAGAATCTTGTTTCTCATGGTCTGAGAGTCCTTTAGGTGCCTTTTGACAAACTCCAAGCGGGCCTTTTGCTGAGGAGTGGCTTCCATCTGGCCACTCTACCATAAAGGCCTGATTGGAGGAGTGCTGCAGAGATGCTTGTCCTTCTGGAAGGTTCTCCCTACTCCACAGAGGAACTCCAGAGCTCTGTCAGAGTGACCATCGGGTTCTTGGTCACCTCCCTGACCAAGGCTCTTCTCTCCTGATAGCTAAGTTTGGCAGGGCAGCCAGCTCTAGGAAGAGTGTTGGTGGTTCCAAACTTCTTCCATTTAAGAATGATGGAGGCCACTGTGTTCTTGGGGACCTTCAATGCTACAGAAATTGTTTGGTACCCTTCCCCAGATCTGTGCCTCGACACAATCCTGTCTCGGAGCTCTACGGACAATTCCTTCGACCTCATGGCTTGGTTTTTTCTCTGACATGCACTGTCAACTGTGAGAACTAATTTAGACAGGTGTGTTCTTTTCCAAATCATGTCCAATCAATTGAATTTACCACAGGTGGACTCCAATCAAGTTGTAGAAACATCTCAAGGATGATCAATGGAAACAGGATGCAGCTGAGCTCAATTTCGAGTCTCATAGCAAAGGGTCTGAATACTTATATAAATGTGTTATTTTTAATAATTTTCTAAAAACCTGTTTTCGCTTTTGTCGTTATGGGGTATTGTGTGTAGAATGATGGGGGGGGGGGGGACAATTAAATCATTTTTAGAATAAGGGCTGTAACATAATAAAATGTGGAAAAAGTCAAGGGGTCTGAATACTTTCTGAATGCACTGGTAAAGTAAATGGAATACATGTAAATGTCCCTATTCTTTAACTACCTGTCATCTGTCAGCATCCCAGGCTTTTCATATCATCTTAGGATAATACAGATTAAGACTGTTAGTCTTTTGTTTGAGGCTGGCGATACAAATAAAGGTTTGATTGTGGTACTTAATCCTGATGAAAGATGAGAATCTCCGTTCTTTGTCGAAAACATTAGTTACATCAATTTTTTTCTTGTCCGTTGACGATTAACAATAACATATTTGTGCTTAAGTATTATGTTGTCCTAAGGTGCTTTGGAGAAAAGGTGTAGACAGACAGATCCGATCACACAAACAAAATATTCAACAATAATGGCGAGACAAAGCCATATTCCAAGAAAATTAGAAAAGAATGATCACACTTTATTTTGGATAGTCCAGATTTTACGTCAGTAGATGCTCTACAGATATTTTGTTGATGGTATGACCATCTGTTGATAAGCAACTGCTTGCTAAGGTTAGGGTTAAGTTTAGGATAAGGGTTAAGGTTACTGATAGTGTATAGATGGTCCATCTCTAGATGCTCTACAGACTATTCAAATAAAGTCTTACCAAAATAATAATTTGATATGATCAAATTCTGATAACATTTGTTTACTCAATTGTCAATTTTTTATTATTTTATTTTTTATTATGTTGCAGTAAACTTAGTGATTATATTCATCAAGGCTAACTAGTGTTAATTATTATTATTATTATTATTATTGGACTAGTTTTTCATAACTGTAGAATTATATAGTTGTAAAAGTATATACTGTGCCTTCAGAAAGTATTCACACCCCTTAACCTTTTCCACATTACATTTTGTCATGACTGCCAAAATATAGTCTATTTCAGAAGAAAATAATAGCATACTCTGAGTTGTCCTTATGTTAGGTCCTGATCTGGCCATGCCATATGGCTGTGGGCTACACCAGTTCATTTAGCAGACAAGATGTGCTTAGAATTCCATGGCATTATTTTATATGATTTTATAGTATGAAGAATACAATTGAATGTAGCTGAATAAAATAGAAAGGATATTTTCTTCAAACGATTTGAGGGAGTGCGCACATGCGGCTATTCTGTGAGTGGTTAACAAAGAAACAGGTCCTCTTATATGCTTAATTTAGAGTTATTTATGCAACTTGAGTTATGATACAAACATGGATTTTTAATACATTCTAAGGCTGCATGATGCGACTGATGGTATGCGCAGGCTGCACTAGCAGAAGCACTAGCCTATGTCAATCTACTATCCCCCATAGTACAAAAATTGACCTATTCTGTGCGAGAAAGAAATATTCCATAGTCTGGGACAGTTGTGTTTTGCGATAGATCCCAAATTAATAAGAAATTAGAATGAAAAATGTATGTACTCACTAACTGTAAGTCTCTCTGGATAAGAGCGTCTGCTAAATGACTAAAAAAATTTTAAAAAAATAAAACCTTTTAAAAGCAATGAGGCTGACACAACAGATCAGAAGGTTTAGCATAAAATGTTGATAAACTATTAGGCTATTTCTTCACATATGCGCAGCAATGCGCACACGGCAAATGTTCCAAAATGCAATCAGTTAGCGGGAAAACACCATTCTCAAAAGTGACCGCAAATGCGATTATGCATGTAATGCTTTTATTGTAAAGGTGCATTTGTATGGTGAAAAATGATCTTCCCCAAACGTGAAACTCACCCGCTGCGTATGTATGCCAGTTAGTGCTCTACACCCGTTGTAAAGCTGAATAATGTGCTTCATTTTAAGAAGTTGTTTGGCCACTGTGATACAAACCTTATCAAAACATATAGGCCTATGGGCTAGGCTACATGAGTTGTACGACTATGATTAGAAAAAGTCATAAAGGCCTGTGCTGTTTCTTGTCTTACTGCACACAAGCTGGACATCATTCAAGTGATAATATATCATTCACAAGTGATAGGCTAATATTGTCACCCATCAGACTATTCTTGATTTAAACTTGTCTTTACATATATTAAATAATATGTGTGACATTTGTTTTGATTTAGAATGGACCGTTATCATGCACCTGTCTCGAAACAGGGGCAGGGGGAAAAATACATGTGTCATCTATGCGCTTCAATAGCGAATGGAGGACGCTTTTCCCTTGGTTCATTTTCATGCCAGCCAGGCAAGCTATACTCCTGTTGTAAGAAGCAATGTGCTTAATATTAGGAAAGTTGAGAAATAAATATAGTAGGCCTAGCCTATAGAAAGCTGATGGGATCCTCCTCTTTTTAATAGAGGCCACCAAAACTCTAAAGTAATGTGCACTGGATGAGCTCATGGGCTCTCATGAAGTGTTTGATTAGATTTCCAATTACGTTTGCATTGATGTCAGAGTGATTAGTGGGACAATAGAGTGCTGAGTACCAGGCAGTTAGCAAGTTTGGTAGGCAACTAATGACCATCGGCAGCATCAGAGCTTGGAGAAGCCTAATTACCGTGACTAAACGGTCACTGGAATTTGACTGCCGTCATGACTTGTGACTACCGGTGTGGCGGTAATACGTTCACCGTAATACGTTAATAGTTACAGCCTGAAT